AGTTGGAGGTTGCTGTGAGCTGTGATGCCACGGCACTCTGCTCAGGGGGACAGCTTGAGGCTCTGTCTCAAAAAAAAAAAAAAAAAAAAAAAAAACTCCCAGCCTGGGCCTCTCCTCTGAACTCTAGGCTGGCATAACCAGCTACTCAACAGCTGCATCTGGAGGCTTAACATACTGAAAAGTAAATATGTTGTGATCTTTCCTGCCACACCTGCTCCGTATTCAGAGTTCAACATCTCAGTTAGGGCAGTTTGCTCTTTCAGTTTCTCAGTCTCAAAACCCTGGAGTCATCTTGGATTTCTTTCCTTCTTTTAGACCAGGCGTCCTCAAACTATGGCTCACGGGCCACATACGGCCCACCTAGGACATTTATCCGGCCTGCCGGGTGTTTTTGCTGCTACTGCCTGTCCTGCTTAGCAGCCGACTCATCCCAGGGCCCTCCAACAGTCTGAGGGACAGTGAACTGGCCCCCGTTTAAAAAGTTTAAGGACCCCTGTTTTAGACCCATGTCTAAGCTGTCAAGAGATTTAAGTGGTTCAACCTTCAAAATGTATACAGAATCTGACCACTTCTCCCACCTCCTCTGTGGCCACCGTCCTGCCTGGCCTGGATGTTGGCAGTAGACCCTTTCTGGCTCCCACCTGCATGCCCCCAAGACAATTGCTAATGCACTAGCCAAAGTGAACTTTTAAAGCATAAGTCAAACCATGTTGGCTGGGTGCAGTGGCTCATGCCTGTAATCACAGCACTCTGGGAGGCCCAGGTGTTTCACTGTGGGCCTGATCTCACAGCTTCAAGACAAGCCTGAGCAAGAGCAAGACCCCATCTCTTAAAAATAGAGGTGGGCTTGGTGTCTGTAGCTCAGCTAAAGGCGCCAACCACATACACCAGAGCTGGCGGGTTCCAATCCAGCCTGGGCCTCCGAAACAACAATGCTAACTACAACAACAATAACAAAAACAAAGTAGTCAGGTGTTGTGACAGGCACCTGTAGTCCCAGCTACTTGAGAGGCTGAGGCAAGAGAATCACTTTAAGCCCAAGAGTTTAAGGTTGCTGTGAGCTGTGATGACATGGCACTCTACCCAGGGCAACATAGTGAGACTCTGTCTCAAAAATAAATAAATAAATAATAAAATAAAAATAAAAATAGCCAGGTGATGTGGTTGGCACTTGTAGTCCCAGCTACTCTGAAAGCTAAGGCAAGAGATTGCTTGAGCCCAAGAGTTTAAGGTTGCTGTGAGCTATGATGTCACGGCACTCTACCGAGGGCAACAAAGTGAGACTGTCTCAAAATAAATAAGTAAATAAAAATAAAGATAAAAAATTAAATCAAACCATCTCATCCTCATGCCCCAAACCCTGCAGAGCTCCCTCTTACTTAGAGTAAATCAGCACATCTGCCCACATCCTGGCCCTTGACACCTCTCTGATTTCATTTCCTAGTGTTGCCCCCTTGTTTAGACAGCCCAGTCCTCCCTCTGCCACTCTACCCCTCTGTAATGGCTCACTTCATTCTCTCACCTCCTTCAAGTCTTTGCTAAAAAAGTGCCTTCTGGGCTTGGCGCCTATAGCTCAACCGGCTAACGCACCAGCCACGTACACCTAAGGTGGCGGGTTCGAATCCCCAGCCCGGACCCACCAAACAACAATGACAGCTGCAACCAAAAAATAGCCAGGCGTTGTGGCAGGCGCCTGTAGTCC